GAGAAAATTTTAAAATACAGTACCCGCCCAGTGCATCATGGGCAAGGGCACCTCCCAGGGGTAGCCCTGGAGGACACCCTCACACTGCAGGAGGGAGGGAGAGGGAAACTGACAAAGGCTGTTTGGAGATTGATGGGAATGTGGCTTTGACCTGGAGCGACCTTGAACACTTACTTTCTGGGGACTCTGAGGGTCCGTGGGCCACATTTTGAGAACCACAGGTCTGTTCCTTCACCCCCGTCCCACAAGCCTGTGTCTGGCCTCTGTCCTGTCCCGTTGCTGCCCCTGCTGTTGCTGCCCCTTGTTTTACTGATTGGAAGTCTTCTCTTGCCTGCTGTTGGGGTCACCCAGCAGATGCAGAAAGCTGAACCTGGATATCTACAAGTGAGGCCGAGGCCAGCTCTGCCCAGAGGACCGCGGAGCCCCTGCCCCCGTCTGCTCTGCCGTCTGATTCCTTCTTATTATTTCTGAGAAGACGTAAAGACAGGTGACGATTCTTTTTCAGAATCTCTCACCTGTTTTCGGACCTTTTATCACCTAGATGAAGTTTACAGTCTGTTAGTCAAATTCCATCTTTCAAAACACCAGTTGGGATTTTGACTGGGATCCTAGTGACTTCTCACATTAATTCTGGTGATCTGGCACATCCACATGCCTTCATTGCCCCATGTCCAAGCACGCAGGTGAAGAGGATGTGAGAGAAAGGATGTGGTCAAATGACCCTCAGGGTCTGTCCTTCATACAGATTGCCACAGTCCCTTCCCCAGACAGAGTAGCAGGCTTGTAGGTGACAGTGCACAGCTGTGATTTCCTGCCCCGTCTGGGGTCATCCAACAAATGAGGAAAGCTTGCCAGACCTGAATCTAAAAGTGCCAAACGCTGGTGTCGACTCTGCCCAGAGGACAGCGGAGCCCCTGCAGCCATCTGCTCGGCCATCAGAGCCTTCCTCCTGGAGGCGTTGCTATTTCACAGTCGTCGTTAGGGGAAAGAAACGATCTCAAGCAACACGTTCTCTTCTATTTTACACACCAGAACACTTTATGTGTCCAGTTCCCTCACAGGACAGAGAACCTGGAGCAGAATGACATGCGTGAGGACCCGGGGGCACACACTAGGGCACATCGAGAAACACCCCCTAAGGCGGGATGGCCCCAGGACCTCAACAGCCAAGTGCCAGGAAGGAGAGGGCTAGTGGCCAAGCCCTGGACGTCAGCAGTCCCCACCATTCTGGAATCCCACAAAATCAGGTAAATAAGAAAACTCACACAACACAGGCATGCACAGGCTTTTTAAAGGATTGCCTGGATTTGGCACTTGGTGAAAAATACTGTCCCCGGGAGACAGGTGAGGATGGTGTGTTGGCAGAGATGGGCTGTCCATGAAGGATTGGCACTAAGCCCATAGGACTGAGGACCAAGGCTCAGTGGCAGTCTCTGCCTTGACATTGTGAGTGCCGAGGCCCACCAAGTCACAGGTGATGAGTGCCAAGGCCCACCAAGTCACTGCCACTGTGGGGAGCCTTGGGATGGGTTCCCTGTCTCCTAGAAGTCTAGAGACCAGGTTCAGTTCTGTTCTGCCATGGACTGCTCTGACAAACGCAGAGGCCCTCTGGGCCTCAGCCTCCTATCTAACAGTGGAGGGATTTGAATAAATAGGGGCATCTTACCTCCTGGTCAGTGTGTGAAAATTTGGTTTTATGTGCATTTTTCTAAGACTAAGGCAGGAAGCCAAAGTTAAAGATATGGAGTCCCTGATGTCTCACCACTTGATTCTCCAATCCTGGGCCTCCCAGGCGACCTTCCCACAGCGTCTCCACGTCCATGCATGGCCTCTCCTCTGCTTACCTTCTCACTGCACAGAGAGCCTCTGTTCCCTCAGGGGAGGGAGCTGGTCCTTCCCACCCTCACCTGAGCCCTGTGCAGAGCTCCGTGCCCAGCGGGCACTTCTGGGGTTCTGAGGACTCAAGGGAGGGGCATCTGCAGGTCAGCACTGTTGAAGTCACTGTCAACACCCTCAACATCTAGTGCATTAACCAGAGGGCAACCTGTGGGATTGGGGCCATGGGGAATTGGTAGCCATCCCCCAGCCTCAGAGGGGCTCACTGTCTTAGTGAGGCTGGAGGAGCTGGCAGAGGCTGACAGTGGTGACTGCTCTAATTCAAAACCCATCTCGGCAGTAAACACACTTATTAAATTGGCTCCCAGCGGAATTGGCTTGTTTCCTCTCATCTCTATTTTTTTTAATATTTATTTTTTAGTTGTAATTGAACACAATATCTCTACTTTATTTATTTATGTGGTGCTGAGGATGGAACCCAGGGCCTCTCAACGTGCAAGGCAAGCGCTCTACTGCTGAGCCACAACCCCAGCCCATCCTCTCATCTCTCTTTAAAAGAAAAGAAAAAATTCAGTAAATGGGTTTTGATACACACAAGAGAATTTCTATTTCTCGATCTTATTATGCTGTAGATATTTTCAACATCTAGGGGTGGTGAGATGAGTTGTTTGGGTATTTGTGCCTCTGTGGATGTGAGGGGAATGAACTCCTTCAGCTGCCCCAGCGTCACAAATCCCTCACAGGGAGTGTCGCTATGTCCCCCAGCAGGGGAGATGGGAAAAGGAACCAGCCCTAGGCTCAGCGGTCTCACTGGCAGGGCTCATTTCCAGCACTTGACTCCCAGCTCTGCTAGTTCCTAAGCCCAATTCTTCACGGCTTCCCGCCTCGGTTTCCCTCTCTGCTACTGGGAATGCCCTCGCCTTGCATTGCTCTGAGGGGTGGTGAGTTGGTCCATGTGAAGTCTTTGGAACGGTGCCTGACACATGGCCAGTGATGCCAGCCATTGTTCTGAGGGACAGCGATGATTTATTTCTCAAGACACCCTGACTGAGGGGCTGTCAGCTGGGGACAGGGCAGCAGAAGTGGGCTGCGTCTTGTGTCCTCCCTTGGATCCATGTCATTTTGACCCAGGGGCAGCCTAACAGCAGCACTGCCTTCTGTTATGAATGAAATGTTCCTGAAGAACGTGAGATAGGAATGTAGGAAGTTGTATTTTTTCTTGTTGCTGTAAACCTTTAAGAGTCCCCAGCCATGGGTCACATTGCGCACTAATGGGGACAGTGATTGTAGGTGGTTTGCAAAGGGAGCAGCAGCCAGCAGATGGGCAGGAGCCCCTCTGCCTGCTGTGACTCTTACCACGTTACACTCCGGTTTTTATATGGTTCACACATGTGAACGTTGTGTCTATTTTTGACTCACTGTGGTTACACCTGGATTGTCAACTTTTGTTGACACATGGTATTTCTGAGATTGAGGCTCAGCTCTCTGCATGTTATTCAGTAAATATATCCTTTGGTTCCGTTCTTCATTCTCTCCCTTTACCTTTGGCCTTGTCTGGTTCTGGCCTCACATATCACCTCCTGTTTACCTCCCTGTGTCTTCTCCTTCCAGCTGAGACTCAGACTCATTACTGGTGTCATTGCCTCTTGCATCTCCTGGTTTTCCTGACTCAGTCTCCCCTCTGGTTCCCTCATCCTTTTCCTTGGATTCCCCTTCTGCTTTCCAGCCAGTGTGGGGAGTGAATCCCACCTGGCTGCCTCCCCAGGCTGTCCCTTCTTAGATGGAGCACCTCTGAGTCTTGGTCTGTTGGAAGGCTATAGAGAACAAGGTCACCCATGCTCCATGGTCCACCATCTGTGTGTCCCATGTGCACACCAGGCTCCCAGCATGGTAACCCTGGAGAAGCAGAAGGCTCACCCAGCCCAGTGGCAGCCCTGGGGGGAGGATGCTTCCTTGCACCTCCCTTATCCCCTCCGGGTCCTCAGACCAACTTCACTGAGAACACCCCGCCCTCTCCCCCATTGGCTTTCAGCCCACAGCGGGAAGCCCGTCCATTCCTCCTGTTTTGAGCACAGCCCCACGGGCTGGACAATGGTGTCTGTTGATCGTGCTCTGACAGATTGTGGCACTGCACTGGGTTATGTATTCAGTTCTTCAAAAGATGAATTCTCTCCGACCTGGAAAAATCGATAGTGACGCATCAGCATGATCTCTACAACTTGCATCCTGGGAAGCCTGAGGAAAGTGCAAGGGCTTCCTTCCCCAGCCCGAAATTCATTGCCAGTGAATGCAAGATATATATTTAACCCCCAGACCAGCCCCATGATGAATGGGGTCTTTCCTGAGAAACATCTGTATCTTGTAAATAGAATTTTATAAACACTTGTAGGAGAAGAAAATTCTCTCATCCTTACAAATTGCCGCACTCTCAGTTGCTTGCTCTCATCTGTTGAAGAAGGCCAAGCTGTTTCTCGGACGGCTAACACATTCCTGGCTGTCCTGTGAGGAGGAAGTCCTGTCTCCAGCAGCTGAGCACAGCCTTTTATGTCAGGGACAGGCTGAGGGACTGGGAAGAGCCCCTAAGTAAGAGCAACCCCCTCCCCAGGGCCACTCTGAGAAACGCCCCTGCCAGTTCAGAGGTATGGACCCTTCTCTCAGTGGGTGGCCCACTGAACAGAAGGTTCTGGACCTCAGAGGCAGTCCTGGGGGAGACACCTGTTGGCTGCAGTCCTCAGCTTTGGAAAGGCGAGCATGCTCTCTACTCAATGTTTAGTCCTCCATCAAAGGCCTGCACCACTGCCAACCCAGACCCCTGGGCTTTCTGACCTGGGTGCCCCAGTCCTTGACTCCACCAGGAGTCACAGGAGAAGGTCAAGGTCCAGTGGGGAGGACAGCCCACTGAAGGAGGCACAGCTGTAAATAGTGAGTGATGCTCAGGGAGCCTGCCAGAGCCACAAGTGCCCCCCTGAACCAAGGGGACGAGGGGACAGGAGAATGTGACATGGCTCCTGCCCAGCAGGAGGTCTCCCTCTGGTTAGAGGAAGACAGGCCGGCAAGGAGGGAGCCTGAGGAGCAGGGGGTGTCTGTCTCCCTACCCGCTCCTCCCTGCCCCTGGGTGGCCGTGGAAGCTCGCCGCCTCTCCCTGTGCTCCTTGACTCGTGCACCGTGCTGGAGGCCGTGGTGTGCTTCTTCTCTGTGTGGTCCATCGTCGGCCTCTCGGGTTTCCACACGTACTTGATCAGCTCCAACCAGACGACAAATGAAGACGTAAGTGCCTGACCGCACGGGACGCGGCGCGGCTGGGTTGAGCGGTGGAGGGGGGAAGGAAAGGAAGAGGTCGGGGCCAGCTTCTCCCACACCCCACTCCAGATGGGAGCCTTGGAAACAGAGGACACGCTGGGGAAGCCCTTCCGGGTGTTGTCCTGTCTCTGTTGGGCAGCTTTGCATTCTCCTGGCCTTTCCTGACCATGTCGGTTGGATACTAAGAATGGCCAAACGGCACCCGGTTCTGGCCCTGAGGAGAAGGTTCTTTCTATTCCTCTTAAATAATTCTGGAAGCAACTCATTGCCCTTCCCCTAATAGACAGAGACCAAGGCAGCCTGACATCTTGAGTCTCCCTTTCATGTTAAATGTCTGTTTAGCCCCTGAATTTAACTTTTTACCTGGGATCACCTGTCTGTTTACGTATACAGGCCAAAAGGGGGAACAGAACAGGAATCGTAATGATGGGTATGTTTTTTGATGAGCGTGGTCCTCGCTGCTCTTAATACTAAGATTTTGACAGAAGTCTCTATCCATACATGAATCAAATGTCTCAGAATTGGTCAGGCTACTTTAAACAAGAACTTGAGAAAAAATTGGTGGTGATAGAATACATGAGATAGAAGACTACTAAAAGAGCTGATTAGGTAACTGTGAATATTACAATCTGCCAAACAGACACTTTAGCAAGACTGGGAGGCTGAATTCTTACGTCTAAATTGGCAATTCGGGGACCACATTAGCTTTTCCAGCATCCATTCCTCTAATTGTCATTAGGGTAGTAAATGTGAATATGAAAATATCTCCACTGGCTTGTGTAAGAGGACCTTTTAGTTCCATGTGGTATAAATAGAGATGGTTGTCCCCAAAGAATATCACTCTCTCCCTATCTAAGCTGCTGCTTGGGAGATTTGCAGTAAACGCCAGTTTTCCTTTGGAAAAGCACATCTCCTGGTGAAGACATGAATAAAGATTATTTGCATTCCTCATGGGTTTCCCGTGATCCAGTTTGCCTAAACTTTGGCATCAGCGTGAAGGATGCTGTATGTTATTGATTTTCCTTGTCTTTCAGATTAAAGGATCTTGGTCAAATAAAAGAGGTAAAGAAAATTACAATCCCTACAGCTACGGAAATATCTTTACAAATTGCTGTGTGGCCCTGTGTGGGCCCATCTCTCCAAGGTAAGATTCAGAAACTGCGATGCTCTTCACAGATGTTGAAAGAGCAAATTTCTATGTGGTGGTAGCCCAAGGCCTTCAGAGGCAGAGGCCGGGCTGTGCCTGGTGGAAACCTGGTGCAGCTGGTCACACTTACCAATGACCACCGGCTCAGCTCTCCCCTTTGTGTCAGACAGACACAATCTTAATGATAAACAGATCTGGCTTCCTTTGGTCACACTTCACATCATATTTGGTCTTGAGCTGAATGTATCGGATTTGGGGAAGATTCCCTAAAGCTCAAGAAAGGAAAAAGGATGTCTCTGGCAAACAGGGAGCCAATGTAGGAAGCAGTTAGAAAACTGTAGAGACAAGTGCTAGAGCTGAGTTGTAGAGGATATAATGCTGAAATAGTTCCTCGAGGGCGATCCATGTGGCCTGGAGAGTTGAGATTGCAGGCTATTAACGATGACGATATCAATCATGGCAGCGGCTGACACTTATGAGATTCATATGCAGCCTTGCTGTGAGTGGGTTACAGGTAAGAGCTTTTTAAAAGCTCACTCTGTATGTGCGGGGAAGGTACCATTATCTCTCATTTTATAGATGAGGGAATTCAGGGACAGGATTTAAATCATGTGCCCAAGATCACAGTTAGTGAATGCCAGCTAGTCAGGACGCCTGCCAACAGAAGCAGTGTATGTCCCCAGGGGCAGGTGACATCTGGATCAGAATGGTGCAGGGTCAAAGTACAGCCAGGGTTTGGGGATTTGTGAGTTGGGCCCCAGGAGATGATTCTCTACCGATCAACCAACCAGTCATCAACAAGAAATGGACAAAACAGAGAAACCACAAAGGCCACTGGATTGTCTCCAAGGCAGTCCCCCTGAGCACCTAGACCTCACCAGAGTGAGCTCTGGGGACACACACATCTTCTTGTTTGTGTCAGCCTCAGTGAACACTCATTAGTGAAGTAAAAGTAATGCAAAGGAGAAAAGGAAAGAAAGCAAGCCCAGGATATGTCCACCACCATTCTCCAGCAGTTCTGGGCCATGGCTGATCAAAGTCATCATGGTGCCATTGGGTCACTGGAAATGAATCCTTTTATGCCTTTGACCTGGGAACTTGGGAGGCCAGCATACCTTTCTCCTTAACGGAGACCTCCACTGACCCCCAGAACAGCTGCTCAGAGGATTCCTGCAGAGGTGGGGGGCTGGGGGGAGGCAGGAGCTGCCAGGGCCTCTGGGATAGGGGCCACCCAGGTGAGGCTTTGACCAGTTTGGTGGGGGTCAGCCCCTCGTGGAGACAGCTCCAGATTCTCCTCGACCTCCTTCTCAGGGCTCCTGAGGTCAGCTCAGCAGCTCTCTCAGGAAGTCCTTGAGCCATTTTAGGTTGTTCCTAATAAAGGGGTGTTGGAAAGGTATAAGAGCAAACTGAGCATCTTTTCCCTTGTCTGAATATACATTTGAGTCCAGGAAAGGGATTGAAAACTCTGTCCAAGTCTCTTCTCTAGTTCCTGAGTCCTGGATTTGCACATGGCACTACTCTCTCTCTATAAATCGAATTGTGTCATAACCAAAATGATTTCTTTCACAAGTGGATTAAATGTGCTGTTTTGGCTGGGTTGGGCCATATTCTTTCCAAAATCCAAGTTTTTGGGGTGGGCCATCTCTCCAGGATGGCTCTCCCCTTCAAACTGCTTGAATTGCTTGTTAGAAGGTAAACTGAGGCATAGTCGAATGTTATAGAAATGATTTGGGCAGGTAGTGGTTGGTGAATCAAGCAGCTCCAGGCTGTAGGTGGTTTGGGGAGACTTTATGTAGGGTGATATTCATTCCAGTGGATCATTCCCGGGGAAAGCCTCTGGTCCTTGAGGCTGATCCTCTCCTGGGGCTTCTTCTAAGAGCCTCCAATGGCAGCTCCCTGACACAGGGAGGGTTTGTTCCCCCAGTGGTCACTTAACCTGCCACTCCAGCCCCAGCCTACAGCCCTTTGTGCCTTCTTGGGCTAAGTCCTGTAGCTTCCCATAGCAAAGTGCCATAAAACAGGGGACGGAGCTTAAAACCACAGAAAGGGTCAGGCTGCTTGGTGGGTGTTGGCCCCTCGTGACAACAGCTTGAGACTCACCCAGAAACACCTTCTCGGGGTTCCTGAGGCCAGGAACTTTCTCAGGAAGCCCTTGAAAACTATTTTTTTACCTTTTGGAGGATGAAACCAAGGTGCAGGCAGGGCTGTTCCCCCTGAGACTGGAGCAGGGCGCTTCCTTGCCTCCGTCTGCTCCTAGTGGCTGCGAGCCTTGGCCAGCAGATACGTCCTCCATTCTCTGCCTCCGGGTTACACAGCCTCCTCCCCGTGTGCCTCCGTGTTTCTTCCCTATTGTCTTCCCCTCTTTGTGAGGACACTGGTCACATTGGATTAAGGGTCACCCAATTAAGTATGAACTCAACGTAGATACATCTGCAAGGACCTTGTTTCAAACTAAGTTCATCCTCACAGACACCAGGGTTGGAGCTTCCACTTATCTTTTTGTGTAATTCAACCCAGGACATTCCCCTTGCCACCAACACCAGTGGGCAGTGGAGCAGGAGGGAACAAAGGACGGGGGTAGGGGCTTGAGCAGAAAAACAGGTGGCAAGGCACAGGAGTGTATAAGGCCAAGCCGTGGCTCTGGTCCCCTACAGTACACTGGAACGTGGCAGGTGCTGGGGACAGGTTTGCTGAATGAATGTGATAAGGAAACGTGGAGTTAGGTCTGCAGAGAGAAATGGTGGCAGATTGTGGCAGGATGAGGTGAGACCAACTAGGAGTATCCCACGGTGAGGGGTCCAACAGAGGGATGTGGGGTCTCCTGCAGGGGTCAGGCATCTAGACAGGCAAGGAAGCAGTGACCCAGGCCTTTTAAAGGTAGACGGGATCCCAGACCCACACTCCAGTCCTGTTGCTGGCATCTCTGGGTTTTCTTCTCTTCTCTCTTGCAGCTTAATTGACAGAAGAGGGTACATCCAGCCTGACACTCCACAGCCAGCAGCGCCCTCCAACGGGATCACCATGTATGGGGCCATGCAGTCACAGAGCGACATGGTAGGGGCCGCCTGCACTGGGGGTCACTGCTCCCTGCTTCTGCTTACACATTCTCTAACCCAGTAAAAATCCAGGTGCCGAGCCCCTGGCAGGAGGGGCAGCCAGGACACCCACGTGACTGTTGGGCTGGCAGTAGGGAATGAAATGGCAAACAAGGGCAATGTCCAATAAGGGACCGTGGCCACTGAGCCTGGCTCATTGTGCAGGGGAAGCACACACACACACACAAGATCTCTTTGTCCAAACAGCATGTGGCACACTGATGGGAAACCCCTTCTACGAAATCAGGGAATTCCCTGTCCCAGCAGGGCTGGCTGGCTGGATACCCTCTACTTCCTGTGCTGTCCACTGCCCCCACGGCTAAGTTTGCAGGGATGATCTGCCCCTTCTCCCTCCTTCAGCCTGAACCTGAGACCAGCCCCTCATCACAAATAACTAGACCAGGTCTTCATTCACAGCAAATCCTGAGAATCCCCCCTGACCCCGTGCAAAGTGCCACCACAGTACAGGCACACTATAGTGGGAAGCCTGAAGCATCTGCAGGTGGACATTGGGGGCAGGCAGGAGTCTCCCCATGGACACCAGCAATCACAGCATACCCAGGCCCCAGCACTCAGTGCCTTAAATTCCTTAGGTGTCTTGAAGGCAATGGCCTCCCTTATTTCCCTAAAGAAGTTTCCCGTTTCTGCCAAGAAGTCCATGCTATGCCAGCTGCCCCAGTGCTGTTTGGTCTTTGTAGAACCGAATCACCCCCAGTTTGTGTGCTTGCAAATCTAAGAGCTAAATTTAAGGGTACACAGGGAATGGCAGCTCCTGGGGTGTGTGGAGAGCTCAAGGTGAAGGTCAGCAGCCCCAAGCTGTCTCCATGAGCTGTGCTGAGGAAACCACTTCATTCCTGGTCACCCAGTGGCTCAGAAGGATGCCGGGCTTATTTGTGGCTAGTGCAGGTGTCTCATCCAGGCTGCTTTGCTTCGCTGGTAACTAGTCTCCTTTAAAATTGAGTATGTGTACGTCACGGTCCTTGCCACTTCCCTCTGTGAGCAATCAGGAAGCCTCTTGTTCTGTCCACCCAAGTGACCCAGAAGGTCACACCCCGTATCCTTCAGAGAAGGAAAACGAGGGCAGAGAGAATAAGAGACAGGCTCACAAAGAAAGGGGACTGCGTTTATGGAGCACCAACTGTGTTCAAGGTGCTTGATGATCTCATTTAATCCTAAATCAACAGTGAGAAATTGTTGTTCACATTTTCTGTTAAGTTGGGAAAGGTTGTCACCTACCTGACAGCACACAGACTCTGGTTTGTGGATCCAAAGCCCATCCGAGGACTCCAAAGCCCACCTTCACTTTGTAGACTATACTCCTTCAAGGGCACAACCTTAAAGACAAGTATGCCCAAGTATGCCCTTGGTCACTTTCAGGTGCACAAGCAATGTCCTATAAGGACGGCCACCAGAACTGTGACCAGGGTATACACTGATCACTTCCCTGGCCTGAGCATGTGCTCATATGTGCCTACCCTCCCACTCATCAGGAGACTCATCGGGGTTCCTGGGATGTGCTGAGGACAACCTAAGAGCTGGGGCTATAAGACTATAGGGTACAACTCCCCTCATCTTTAAGGGCTCCACAGCCAGGTGAAGGAAACATTAGGAACCTTCATAGAAGAGACCATGGATGGCGACAGGTGTTATGGACCCCGATGGACTTGGGTTAGTCTCGCTCAGTTAGCACTGACCCAACCCATGCTGTGCATCTTCTCTAGATTTAAAAAATAAACAAAGGCTCTCTTGAAGGTTCTGCTGTCACCAGCAAGCATCTTGAGGTCAAGAGGGGATGGAGCCTAATTCGTGAACTCAACAAACATTTTTATGGATCCCCTGCTGCATGCCTCTGTGATAGAGTAGCCGAAGAAAGAAATGGGGTGGTCGCTTCTCTCCGCGTGGTTGTCAGAGTCCCCACTGGATCCATCAGGCTGGAGCTGTGCTGTGACTCTGGTTAAGGGCACATCACTGCAGGTGTGGGCCTGGAGCAAGTGGACAGAGTGTTGTACTGGTCTTTTCCTGGGGGACAGTTACCTCCCAAGCAACCAGCCACCCTGAGGGCTGAACCCCGATGCCAGAGCACCATGTGAGGACCCGCAGAGGGGAAGAGCCTTGTCACAGTTTCCTACTGTGATTCCACTCAATGCTGGGCTCGTTTTTATGACACGGACTCATCTGTGGGCCAGGGCGGCCCATCAGGAAACAAGAGGACATTAAACCCAGACTCCTCACTCTCCAGCCCTCTGCTGCGTCTCCAGATGAGAACAGGAGGGAGCCAGGTGTGGCGACCACATGGCACCGAGCACCAGGCTGATCAGGCCACCCGACAGAGCTCCGGAGCCTCTTCAGCGCTGACCAAGGGACCAGCGGTGGTGTGAGTCACGATGGAGCCTGAATGTGGACCTATGGTCCTGGGTCACCTGCCTCATGAGGTCTGTCAGACCTCATGACCCTGCGCCCCGCACACCTGGGTATAGGTGCACACACACCACCTCCCATGGCCCTGCTCAACACCTGCACACACACAGGGGAGGAGCTTGGTGGGCCCTGTTTAGGTCTAACTGAAGAGCTAGGAAGAGGCCCTGAAAGTCCATGGTGTGAAGGAACAAGCAAGGCCACGCAGAGCCACAGCCCTGGTGAGTTCTGCTCCCCTGTGAGCTCAGACACATGGCGTTTCGCGTGCAATATCAGGACACGTTCCCCCCCGGGAAGCCTATGGGCTCCAAGGTAAAGAAGCCCTCCTTTGGTGAGTCCCACCATCTCCCTTCTCCCTATCAGAGATGAGACTTTTAGAAATCTAAGAATTCTGGAAGGCAGACCCCCGTGAGCATGGCTCCAGATCTGTAATGCACAGAACTGCCAATCAAGCCCGGAGCCGGGATCTTCCAGCCAGTGACGGAAGCTGGACACAGACATCTTCCACCTGGTGAGCACTCCAGAGTCCTTCGCCCAGGCTCTTAGCCTTCTCTTGGAGAAGATTCCAAGAAGATTTCTTGGAGAAGAAAGAGGGGATGGAGACTCAATGTCAGAGACAGGGTTGCTGCTCACTCACCAGATGAGTGACCTTGATGGTTGCTTAACCTCACTCTGCCTCAGTGTTTTTACCCACAAAATGGGAACATTGGTGTCCCCACTGGTAGCTTTTCTATGAGGAGTGGGCTAATACCTATGCAAGCACTTGGCACCTAGCCTAGCACAAGGTATGTGCCATATAAGGGTTAGCTATGGACATTGTCATCAACTCCCTGATGTCCCTGGGACATGATGGACAACAGCAATTGTGTCCACTTGGAGCAGCTGAACAGCAGACATGACTCCAGGGTGTAAGGCAGGACAGGAAGTGCAGGGGCCTTGGTGCCTTGGCTCCATCTTGGGTTTTGTTCTGTAGATGGTAAGAAAACCTCACGGTAATAGCTTCAGATTTTCATGTAGATGAGGGTGGCAATGGTGCAGGAGACCTGGGTGGAGGCTCTGTGGGGTGGAAGGGACACATGCCACTGAGAAGCCAAGGTGAATAGCGGAGGCCTTGCGGGAGACCTGGTGACCAGCAGGCTGGTCGGGTCAGCAGAGGCAGGTCAGAAAAGCTGCAGCACAGAGTAGGGGCTGAGAATTAAGATAATGCTGGGGGCTGGGGGAGGTCAACCAGGAGGCCGCCAGCTGGGTGAGCGATGGAAGTTCAAGGGGAGATGTGAGCAGGGAGCTCACTTGGGCATGTGGAATCTGTTGGCCCAGAATTCTGATTCCTGGCGCCATTGGGGAAACCCCCATTAGGCAGCTGAATGGAAACCCTGGGAAGGTTTGCTTTCTGGTGTTGATGAGGAATGATATGGTTGGGAGAAATTCATCCTGAATTCATTGATTTTACTGATCCTTCTAAAAGGACCTGTCATGTTGGCGTTGAAAAAACAAACCATAAGACTTGCTCAAGCTGCTCATCTAAGATATTAATCCAAGTTCATCTCACATGCTGGGAGATTATTTTTTAATTAGCACTTACTAGATCTCCCTCTTTCGCCATCCACCTCTGCCAGCGCTCTCCCCGCTAAGGCAATCAAGTGTCTTGGTCTGATTGGGTACGAGAGAGGTAGAGAGCAGGGTGCGGATCAGAGACCCCGTTCAACACTTTGGGGCTGTGTGGTCTTGGAGGAGTCACTTAACCCCCAGACTCTACATGCACATGTGTAAACTAAGGGAACAAGGACACCCAGGTCCTGCACTGTGATTAGAACTGCCTGAGACCTTGCCTGTCACACCTTCTTATTGCCAGTCTATAGCATAGGGCTGGGCACCCAGTAAAGGCTGTTAACTGCTCACTGGAATTAATGTGAAAATTCCTCTCGCAGGATCTGACCCATGGAGGGTCTTCTTTTCCTCATTATTCCCATCTTCCAATTTTGCCACATCTGCAAAAAGCTCCATCCATCCTGTATGTTGAACGAGCCACTGGAGAGGAGTTTTCTTTAGTGCAGTGACACATCAAGATGGCTTCATGAAGCAGTGGCCTCTCTAGGTTCAAGATAAATCCACGAGAGGCAGAGTCTGTGGTTGTTTTACCCATTAGACGCGGTAGGCCAGTGTCTGCGCACTCTCCACAGACTTCTAGGAAAAGTTTAAGATCTGGGAAAAAGATTATGTGCTTTAAAACATGAAAGTGACAAAATCAAAATCAAAATTAATAAATGTTTAATGTCTAGAGACACATGAATATATCAAATTCATTGTTAAATTTAGCATTCATGAATATTTCATGACATTTGAAGAATGAGTTGTAGCTTGAGTTTTTCTCACTTCGTAAGAATTCCCAAGCACACATGATGACCTAGAAACCAGCACCAATTATAAATTGAGCAAAAAACAAGTTGCTCATAGACAGGTGCTTGAAAAAGTCTAAGTGACTTGGAGCTCCATGCCCTTCTTTTTTATTTATTAATTAATTTATTTTTAGTTGTAGATAGACAC